ACACCTTGTTATCTCAGATTCTCCAGCATCTGCAGTTCCTACTATCTTTGATTCAGGCAAGTCAGGTTTTATTTGTATTTGAAACAAAACTTGCATATCTGCTGTCAAAAATTTTTAGCACTTTTAAATGGTCAGTTAGTTATCAATTTTCAAACTAGTGACAGCCATTCACTGGTTCTTTTCTCAGCGCCATTCCTTGATCAACCAGAGTGAGTAAAATTAAAACAAAGCCTGGACATTAACTGTAAATAATCATTAACTGGTACATTCTCCATGGCAACACTTCTGCCAATCAAAGTCCACTTGCCAACCAATCAGCACCCTCTCACTTACAGTATAAATGTTGGTTTTCCCTTTAAATTGATATCCTTGTGAATTGCCCTGATGGGTGCAAGACAAAAAGTTTTGATAAATATATATTCACGCATTCAGAGTTAGAGCCTTGAAGTAACTCAGCATATCTAGAGGCTAGAAATTACTGCTGGCAATTTCAGCACACTGACTTATCATCTATAGCATTGGGTTTTATCTTCTGAAGTTTAATTCTTCAGTCTGGTCACACTGGTTGTTTTTAGTGTTCAATTAAAATTAGGCTGAGAAACAAGCAATTATAAAATACTTAATTTTAGAAACTGCGTACAAAAGTCAATTCATCCATAAGTCCCGAAGAAGGTTGACTCAGCTAATGCATTGATGTAATATACTGGAACTTTCGAAAGGTATTTAATGAAATGTCACATGATTAGCTTGTCCGTGAAGTTAAAAACCATGGAATAAAAGGGTCAGTGGGAGTGCGGATGTGGAATTCCTAAGTGACATGAAACTGAGTCATGGTGAATGGCTGTTGTCTGAACTCTGTAGATTTCTACAGTAGTTTCCCCAAGGGTCAGTGTTAGCATGCCTGCTTTTCTTGATTCAATACCAGAACTTGGCTGGACAGGCAGCATCCAGCTCATCAAGCTTTCCCCACCATTCAATGTGATTGTGGCTGATTGAACACTTCAGTGCCTTTTACTCATCCCATCCACATAACCCTTTACATCACTGTTAATCAAAAATCTCTCAATCTTAAACATACTCGAAAACTGAGCCTTGATAGCCCTCTGTGGTAGAGAAGTTCAAGGGTTCATAGCTATCTGAGTAAAACACTTTCACCTCATCTCAGACCTAAGTGGTATCTCCTTATTTTTAAATTGTGTCCCCTGGTTCTAGATTTCCCAACCAGGGGAAACATCTTACCTGCATCTGCTCTGTCTATCCTTTTGTAAGTTTCAATGAGATCACCTCATCCTTTGAAACTCTACAAAATATCGGCCCTGTTTGTGCAATCTCTCTTCATAGAACGGTTCTACCATCCCAGGAGCAAGTCTTGTGAATCTTCTTTGCGCTCCTTCTCTGGCAGTACCTTTCTTTAGACAGGAGACAGAAATTGTAGACTATTCCAGGTGCAGTCTATCCAACCTTCTATTGCTCCAATTGAAGCAAGACTTCAGTACTCCTGTATGCAAATCCTCTTACAATAAGGGCTAACATCACATTAGCCTTCCTAATTGCTTGCTGCACCTGTAAGTTAGTCTTGAGTGATGTATCGACAAAGATACCAAGGTCCCTTTGTACGTCTATACTTTCTGAAATCGTACCATTTAAGATATGCTCTGCACTTCTTCTCATATCAGAGTGGATAACCCCTCATTTTTCCACATTACATTCCATCTGCCCATTCCCTAAGACTAAAAATTTCCTGAAGCTATTTCACATCATCTTCGCAGTGCACATTCCTACTTTGTATCATCCACAAATTTGATTTGATTTTAATATTGTTGTATTATAGTACTGAGATACAGTGAAAAGTATTGTTTTGTGTGCTGTAGAAGCAAATCATACATACGTAAGTACATCAGGGTAGTAGAACAGAATGCAGAATATAGTGTTACAGCTACAGAGAAAGATTAACTTTAACATTACTAACCTCTCGAGATCAGTTCAAACATCTGATAGTAGCAGGGAAGAAGCTTTTCTTGAATCTGATGGTATATGTTTTCAAACTTCTTTATCTTCAGCCAGACAGAAGAGGGTGGAAGAGAGTATAACCAGGGTGGGAGGGGTCTTTCATTATATTGGCTGCTTTCCTGAAGCAGCACAAAGTATAGATGGAGAGAATGGATGGAAGGCTGGTCTTCGTGACTGAGCTGCATTCACAACTGTCTGTAATTTCCTGCAGCCTTTGGAAGAGAAATTGCCATACCAACCTGTGATGTATCAGATAGCATGCTTTTTATGGTGCATCTATAAAAATTGGAAAGAGTCATTGTGGACACGCCAAATTTCCTTAGCCTTCTGAGGAAATAGAGCCGTTGGTGTGCTTTCTTGATCATAGCATTGACGTGGATAGACCAGGACAGATTGTTAGGAACTTGAAGCTCTCAACCGTCTCCACCTCAGCACCATTGATACAGATAGGGCATGTCCTCCATTATGCGTCCTGAAGTCGATGAACAGCTCCTTCATTTTGCTGACATTGAGGGAGAAACTTGTGTCTACACCAGGCCTCTAAGTTCTCTATCTCTTTCCTGTACTCCATCTCATCATTGTTTAAGATCTGACCCATTATGGTGGTGTCATCAGCAATCTTGTAAATGGAGTTAGAGCAGAATTTGGCTACAAAGTTGTGAGTATATAAGGACTATAGAAATGAGCTGATTTTGGGGCCTTGCGGGGTACCAGTGTTGAGGATTATTGTGGGGGTGGTGTTGTTGCCTATCCTTACTGATTGCAGTCTGCAGTTCAGGACGTCAAACATCCAGTTGCAGTGTGGGAGCAGAGTCCCAGATCTCAAGAGTTTGGAGACGGGTTTGATTGGAATTATGGTGTTGAAGGTGGAGCTAAAGTTAATAAATAGGACCCTGACGTAGGTACCCTTTTATCCAGATGTTCCATGGAGGAGGGAAGGGCCACGGAGATGGCGTCTGCCAAGGACCTGTTGCGACAGTATTAAAATTGTATTGGATCAAGGTAATCTGTGAGGCTGAAGTTGATGTGTGCCATTGCTAACCTCTCGAAGCACTTCATAATGATGGATATCAGAGCCAACAGGCTGTAGTTATTAAGGCACATTGCCTGATTTTCCTTGCTGCCTGATGTTTCTTTTGCAGCACAATGATTGTGGCCTTCTTGAAGCAGGTGGGAACCTCACATTGGAGTAAAGGGAGGTTTAATCTTCCTCAACAGCTTTATCAAACACCTTCTGAAATCTAAATATGCTACATGATCGGCTCTCCTTTATCAATTTTATTAATAACATTTACAAAAGAAACTCCCAAGTGTTTTAAATACAATTTCCCCTTCACAAATTCATGCTGACTATTCCCGATCAGGTCATTATCAACCAAGTGTCTATTTATCCCATTTGTTATAATAGATTGTATCATTTTCCCAACTGCTGATGTAAGGCTAAGAGATTTGTAGTTCCCCGTTTTCTCTCTTGCTCCCCCCTTTAATAATGGGGTGATATTTGCTACCTTGCAATCCACAGCAATCATTCCAGAAATTAGAATTTTGGAAGGTAATCATCAATGCATCAACTATCCATAGGCACTTGCTTCAACAAGACTAACAGCTCCTGGGATTTATCAACATAGAACCCATTAATTTCTCCAGTACAATCTCTTCACTAATACTAATTTTCTTCAGCTCATTCTCTGTAACCATTTTAGTTCTGAGAGATTTCTTGTATTTCCCTCAGTGAAAGCAGACGCAAAATAATTATTTAGCTTCTCTTCCCAATATAAATTCTCTGACTC